TTATTTAGAGTTACAACCCCTGGTATGCCCTTTATTTATTTATCAGCACCACACACACACACACACACACACACACACACACACACACACACATATCTTTCTCTCTCTCTCTATCCCTACCTATCTACACACACTCTCTCTCTCCCTACCTACCTAATGTATTTCTCTATCTATCTCTATTTCTCTCTCTCTCTTTCTATCTCTTTATCTATCTACCTAATTTTTTTAAAAAAATTGCCTCTTCAAAACCTTGGTGCGTCTTATACTCCGATGCATCTTATACTCCGAAAAATATGGTACATATGTATAAAGTAATCTATTGTCTCAGCAATATTTATTACCCCAATAATATATAGCAACCTTCCACCTTACTTCTAATTATGTTGGAGTACAACTTCCACATTACTAAGTGGGGGTTATGGGACTTATAATATCAACAAATCTGAAAGAAACCAGATTGGGAGAAAATATTTTGATATTCACATTAAAGCAGCAGGCAAGGAACACTCTGTAGGGTATAGTGTTTATAATTATATAAAGCTTCATTTTGAAAGCATTAAATATCTCTCAGTATGCCAAATAATATAGGATTTTTATAATTATACTGTCAAAACACAGAATCATATGCAGATACCTGCAACCAAATATACTTTAAGAAATGTGGGGGGATGGCTATTCAAGAAAACGAGTAATCCACATTAATTGAAGGCATAATTCCAGAAAAAAAATCTTTTTTAAAACCCTTCAATATTCAGTAATCTGAACAGAATAATAAGAACTGGGCAACACAGATGCTTACATAATTATTTTCATAAATGCTAGAATGGACTTTTAATTTGCTTTTTCAACATGAACAGATATCACACACAATAGAAACAAAACAGGCTAAAATGTGGTTTTTAGAATGTTTGAGAACACTGTTTTAAACCAATCCGGAATTCAGTATATCCTGCACATGAAATTTTCCCAACAATTCAGGAATAGCCCAGGCCCCCATAACACTGACTCTGAATAAGGATGGAGTTATTTCTGTATTTCTGATTCTGCAACAGGACTGGATCAAAGAGGCTAATTCTCTTTGCTGCAGTTTTGCAAAGCTTGTGTTATTCCACTTATGTAAATTCTCTCACCTACCTTCTGATCCTCAACTTCAACTTTAGAGTTTTTAAAAAAGGAAAGAAAGGTGACTGACATGGTGACTTTGTAGTGGTTCTCATAGGAATTGCTCAGATTCCCCCCCCCCTTTTTAATGCATATGATCAGAGAGTTTCCAGCCAGGCATTAAACAAACAATGTGGGTGAGGGAGTATTAGCCATTTATTTTGTTCCCCCTACGTGGACTGGATAAAGAGTATCATTCATTCCGGGATCAGCAGAATTTAATGCAGGACCATGACTGACTTACTACTACTACTCCCCCCCCCCCTCCGGCTCCAGTTATTTGAAGTTGACAGGAGTGGCTATAATCACAGGTATGCTTCTAAGAGCATTTAGGGTTAGAGAATAAAAATGCTGGGGATGCAGATAAGCCTTCAGGAAAAAGAACTGCTGAATAACTACTAAACGATATCAAGTTCAGAACACAGCACAAGATTTTTAGAATGTGTTCAAATGTTCTTCATAAGTTGAAGGAAAGTTTTAAGTA